GGAGATGATGGTGGTGGTGAGGAGGAGGTAAAAGACGGGGAAAGGAAGTAGTGAATCCGTGGCAGGTGGTGAGTGATGATGATGATGGAGGGTGGGAATAATTGACCATAAAAAATAAAATAAAATAAAATACAACTACCACCACCACCACCACAACAACAACAATAACACCAGGGAATTGTTCACTCTTTCACTTTCTACTTCATTTCTGTGTGTCAGTCAGGTGTACTGCCAATGCAAAATGCGGGGTAGGGAATTTCCTAAACCAAATTCCTTCCTTCCTTTCTTCATTCATTCATTCAGGGCTGCTGAGTTGGATTTCTCGCAGGAATTTCTCTCTCTCTCTTTTCCTGGGGGGAAATGTTTCCCCCCCAATGCCCTTGCATCCACTCCCAGTTCCTGTTATCAAAGCGAATGGCAATAGACTCTGGGTCTAAGATGAATCGAGAAGATTTGCCTGGTCTTTCCCGGTCGCTCCGGTCGCTTTCTCCGCCATTCCCCCCTCCAGGCATCTTCCATTCTTCCATTCTTCCTCGGTTCTCCTCAGAGAAGTTTATTGCTATCGATATCCTAAGTAACTTTCTCTCCAGATAGGTCTGAATAGTGGATATACGAAGATAAAAACCCCTACCCTTATAACCATCGCTGCAATTAAATTGTCATTCGAGTCTTGTGTAGTAGGTTTAGATATCATCACTATGTACACGGACAGCCTGAGCGCGCCTCCGACGGTCAAATAAATTAAAGCCGATAAGCGGGTGAGTGGAAGAACCGCCCAATCCACTCGACCGCTGGATAAAAGAAAAAGAAAGAAAGAAAGGAAGTAAAGTAAGAAGAATAAGAAGAAGGAAAAAGGAAGATGAAAATCAAAAAGAAACATGTACACGCTCAACTGTCAACATGGCCTACAAATGCAAGACCCAAACCACATCAATCGCAACAAGCATGATCATGTCATGTGTAGGGTGATCCCAAAGCTAAATCATACACACATAGAGAAAAAAAAAAAAAAAAACCAAGTTCAAAACAAGATGCTCGTTCAGGCCACAGATGGCGCTGCACCGGCCAAACTAGTACTCGCCATGGCTCGCTTTCCCTTGTCGGGCGCTATCCCTTCCCCGTTGGCACTTATCACTGAACCCACCACTTTGCGAGGGAACACTGCCTCGCCATTAGTACTGCTGGCCTCGCTACCCCGGCGCGATAGACTCGGTGTTAATCGCCCAGGCAGAAGGCCCCGGATGCCCCCAGCTTTGCGTGCGGGGATGTCCGTCGTGCCCGCCGTGAGCACATACAGCAGATACTTCAGGTTGGGGAGGGTATGTCGGATGTCGAGCACGCGCAGCCCTTGCTTGTTCAAGAGAAACTCAATATCCTTGTTCAGCAGGAATACCCCGTACTCAAACCGGTACTGCACATTCACTGGGTAGAGTGGATAGGTTCGCTGCGGCAGCGATGCAGACACCGGGTCCTGAATCAGCGAGTGCGACAGATACGGGCTGATCGGGTATGGCAGCGGAATGGACAGATAGAACGACAGCAGATACACGAGATGTGCGGTATAACCCAGCGCCGCCGCAACCCCATCGCGGTCGACATCCGTAAAATTCGAGTTGGGCAAGGCCATTCCAGCAATAGTGAAAGCCAGCGGTTTGTCCGGGATGGGTTCAATAGGATAAATCGCAAGTAGGTCCTCCGACATGCGCCGGATCTGACCGCGGCCCTCGTCCGTGTTCTGCTCCAGCAACTTCACGCTCGAGCCCAGTTTCTCTTGCGCGTCCGGGAGATGACTGCGCGCCCTAGCTTGGGTCTGGCGTCCACGCTCCATGGCCTCTCGTCTCGCTGCAAGACTGGAGATCAATTCTTCCTTCCGCTTCGTTAAAGTGCGAAGCTGCTTCCGCTCCGCTGCAACAGCATGCTTGGCCAGCGCAAGCTTATCCCGGGCCCGCGACGCATTACTGGTCGTAGTCAGCGCGCGCTGGTTCTTCTCTAATATCGAGCTGATTTGCGCCTCGAGCTTATCTCGGGTCGTCAGGGCATCCTGGATACACTCATCCAAATTGGCCAATCGCATCAGCGCATCGTACGACGAGGTCGGTAACGTGGCACCATCGGCGGATCGGGGGTGGCGGGGAGGTACAGAAGCGATCACGGGGGGAAGGTCAGTTAGATTTGTGTAGACGCCATCTGCGAAATGAAACAGGATCGAGTTCGGTGGGAGCGGCTGATGGAAGTTATCCAGTGACTTCCCCAGGAATTGTAAAGACTGCAGACACAGCTGCAATTCCACCAGCAGCAAGTACTCCTCCATGGCCGCCGTACGTGCCCAGACCTTCACCGTAACCTGGTCCTGACGAGCGATTGCCGGCCCACATATATTCAGATCGAAAGACCGGAAGCTGGGGTTGGTGGCATGCTCGACTACCTCACTCACGTAAACCGGCTCGTCGACCCCGCCGCAGTGAATCGAGAACCACGTATCGGCCATACGGCTGCTCGTAATCTCCTCCAGCTTCACCTGACGCGCGCGCGGATTGGGCCCATTCCAGGGCAGCGTGTTCCTCCTCTGCCATTGTCGCAACGGGGGTGGCTGTTCTCTCCGGGGGCGGTCTTCTGCGCTCCTGGAGGCGGGGGTCGACTTGAGATCGGTGAAGGAGCGCGACTGATGTAAGGGTTTCGCTGCATCCTCGGCGAGCGCTTTCAAGGGCGTATGTAGCGAGTTGGGGATGTTGTCATCGTCGATGGTCTTCCCGCGCGGTCGACTCGGCGGACTAACAACGAGATTCCGGACAGACACGCCCTGCAGATGGCGAAGCTTGCGATTCTGCGCGGAAATCATCAGCGAGATGCGTCAATGGATATACCCAAAAACCGTAGGATAGTAATGTACCGGAAGAAACAAGCCAGGTCTTTCACGGCGCCTGCCAGTGTCGTCGTCGTTGTCCGCGAATCCCCAGGCGGTCGCCGGCAGCGCCATCGCAGACAGACACTCGGAGGGGAAGCTTAGCTGTCGCACTGCGCAGGGACTATGTGTCGGATCATCCTAAGCAGATGACAGAGAATAAAAACACCTGCGACGAATACAATCGAAAGAAGCCCCAATTAAAACCCCTTTATGAATGAATTAGCGTTGCTGATCGTCGACCGTTGACATAGAGCTGGTTGAATGAAGCCAGCAAGTTAGTAGTAGTTGGGTTGCCGGCGGAATCGCTCGCCCGGTCGGGATCTCCGTCGAAAAATTGATCCGCCGACCTTCTCTCATTCTCTCTTCTCCTCTCCCGGAGCTTCACCCAGTTCATCCTCAACCACACACCCACCAATTACCCCCCCCAATCTCTCCGGATCTGGGCCCAATTCGGTAAAATAGAGTGAACGACGAAAGCCAACCGTCCACTCTATTCCCACCACGATCCTCCCCGGCCCTCATCACCATCTAAAGAGGAAGAATCCGGTCACGCGGAGTACGGTGACCAACCCGGCCGCGGCGATGGCCTCACAACAGGTGACGAAGACGCCCTTCCAGAAGATCCTGGACCCGACCAAGATCGGAACGTGGAATATTGTGCGCCGCCCACCCGTCGAGAATCACAGCATTATCCAGGGCAAGCCGCGCGAGCAGAACTCCAATGCCTTCAAGACGCATCAGGCCAAGGAGGGAACTCGGTTACGAAAGGCCTTGAAGGCACTCACTCATGGCAAGAACATCTTTGCCTATCACAATATTCGCACGAATCAAGTCGTGTACTCTCTCACTCGGTATTTGGAGGTGAGTTTACATCCACTAAATCAATTCTATCAACCCATCCATCGACCCCAATCCACAAAGAGAAAAAGAACCACCACTAACCTCACCACCCACCAGAACAACACCACCCTGAAACAACTCCTCTACCACGGCAAAAAGACCGTCCCCGCCCGACTCCGCAAAGACATGTGGGTCCCCTACTTCAGCGTGCACTTCAACGACAGCAAGATCGGGCTACGAGCATACCACCTCCTCCGGGAATTCAGCATGCAGCGACAACTCTCCCCCCCGAAAGAAATGATCACCATCACGGACGCCTGGATCGACCAGAAACGTCCGCGCGACCCAAAGGGCGCCGACGACTTCCTGGAGAAATACAAGGACAAGATCGGACGGATCATGCCCAAGCACCACCGCAAGCGCGCCGTCATGGATCAAAAGGCCACTAGTGTGGCGGATATCGCGGCCGTGCTGAAGATCCAGGAAGAGGAGGTGGCCAATGGCTTTGCGGATGGGAAGAGGGGTTACTTGACACCTACTGCGCGGAAGAGGAGACGTGCTGCTCGGGCTAAGGAGGAGGCGGTTGCGAATGAGCAGGCGGCTAGAGTGGCTGGGTTGGAGCAGGCGTTGAGTAGTGAGGTTGTGGAGTATAAGGTCCAGGAGACCAAGGATACGTCTGGTGCGTTGGAGGAGATGGGGGTTAAGATCCTTTGGAGGGATTTGCATGATGCGCGGTTTGCGGAGAACTGGCCTGAGAGGGTTAGACATGGTGAGTTGGAATTGTCTCGCGATCATGTCATGCCTGGTCAGAAGGGTCTGCGTTCGGAGGTCCTGGCTGAGGGTGAGTTTCGTGAGAGGACGGAGCAGCAGCAGCAGCAGCAGCAGGAGGTTGAGAAGAACTAAAGATGTTCATATTTATTTGATTGATTGATATCACATCCTGGGTTGTGGATGGTGTATACATATGCCGAGGGTTGCGTGCTTTTCCATTTTTGATTATAAATTGTATTTTTACTCACTACTACACTACTTACTACGATTGTTGTTTTAGAGAAATGATGCAATGGCGTTTGAGCAGATCACACTGCACTGATCTTTGGGTATTACATCTCATCTTCACCAACTCCATTTCCTACAACCAAAACCAAAACCAATACTCAACCTGACATATCATGATCTTACCATCCACCCCCAAACCCACCCCACCCACAAATACCCAAAATACAAAACCACAATAACCCTAAGCACCCTCTCCCCCAACTCCAAAAAGTTATACCAAATAGCATCCCGGAACCTATTCCGAAAGATCCCCGGATCATTCCCTCTCGGAAAAGGCACCACGCCACCATTCCCATCCAAGGGAGGCTTCTTCCCCAGAAACTCGCACAGCGGCTCCCACCCATCCTTGACATGATAGACGAGGAGGTTCTCAGCTGGCACAATGTCCTTGACGTGGCTGTTATGCGCCTCGAAGGCTTTGCGGCCGTTGGCGTCGAAGTTGTCGTTGAAGTAGTATTTCCAGATCTTTTGCCAGGTTGGGAGGACCCAGCGCGTTCGGGAGAGGAGGAAGTTCTCGAGGATGGTGGAGAGGGGGAGGAAAGGGTGTGTGAGGAGGGGGGTGAATGATTTACTGACGGATCTGTTGTAGCTTTGGTATAAGAGTTGTGTGTTGCTTGATTAAGATGTGTAAGGGATTAAATTAAACGCACCTGTGCCAATCGTCCACGTCTCGGACTGTCAGTATTACTTTAGCTTCTGGATAAGTTTGGATTAATTCGTCTGCGAAGCAGGCCGCTGGGAAATCCGATACGGCCTATAACAGTGGTCAGTTTATCTGACTTAGTATATAACTCTCTCAATTACTCAATTGCAAGGATGTCCATACCTGACAGTGCCCCAAGATCTGATCAAATTCTTCTCGACCAAATGGCCGGCCCTTTCCTTCATATTTGGCGCTCAAAGCAGCAAGCCACATCTCACAGTCTCGAGGGTTCTCCAGAACTGCTGCGTATCCGTGATAGGTGTCATTGTACCCTAGGGCTCGGAGAGCTTGTCTCAATGCTTTACTTCTCGTTAGCGGTAGAACACATCGTCCATCTTAGATGCACACCATACAGTCTGTTCCTGTCCGGCACAGTCCAAGTGCCAGGACTTGCATAGGTACTTCGCGGCGACATTTGCGTCTGTCGATATCGGTGACGGATTTGATGACGTCGTGGAACTGGTAGGTCGTCATTTTGGGAGGTTTCAACTAGATGGTGGTAAATGACATGTTTGGATTAATCTATGGGTTGATATATCCATCTTGTGGAGAGCCATCAGGTCTTCGTGCTTTCAGCCATCGCTCCTAGAAAGCCTAGTGCCTGCTGAAATTTGCCTCCGTCTCGAGTAAGTGAACACCGGAGATAGTAACACCGTCTGGTCCCCGTTTGTGGGGACTTTACATATCCAGGCATCTTCACGAGCTCTGATAATCAGAAACATCGTGAAGCTAGCCATCTATACGGCGGATTGGATTCTTCATTTGGATTGCCATGGCGCTTTTTCCGGTAGTGGATTATTAGTACAAGACCAACACTTGTTCATTGGCTAAATCTGAACATCAACTCCTTAAAGTACAGATTACCAAGATTTCATACCTAGTAGTTAGACTCCACATTGAGAATTATAGAGTAAAGAAAATGAAGATATCGGACGACACTGCCCCACCTGGATATCATCATAGCTTACAAGAAGCATGCTATATGTTATTAATTGGAGAAAAGTCAGCCGAGCTGGATTCAAAAACATATATGTAGCTGACCTCTTGCTTCCAAAACTACTGCCCTCGCAAGACTTAGCTCACAGTATCTATTGCCCGGAGATAGTGCCAGTGGGTCTCGGGATCTGGCAGCCCACGATATTCTCCCGAGCTGAACTGTGATGGACTTCGTGCGGCTGAAGAGCACCACCATATCATTACCCTTTAAGGAGTTAGCAGCTCAATAGTAGATGAACACTTGAGCAAGGTGCAAAAAGATCCGTAACCTTATCAATCGAGCCTTGAATTTTGCCAGCCCACTAGAATCATAAGATAGTATTCGCCGGTTTATTTGCAGCTGCTGGATAACGTCGAATCATTACTCCTACTCTGATAGGAAGCGGTCGATAATGCCTGTGACATAGTATATGCCACCAGTGGACCAATGAATGCGACTCCCGGCGTTTTCGCACTCCCTTAAAGCAGGGTTCCGCCCATACCTGGGGCCACATTTCCGGAGAGGGGGAAATGCATTGTGTGACTATCGATTGTTAGCACTGAAACCAACTGTCCACAAACAGCAATCGCCTATCGTATGCAATTTTGTGTACCCCAAGGCCTTGGCCTCCTTGCTGACTCCCCTTCATATGATCGCCTTAGAGACCCACCGGTGTATATCAAGTTCAATAGTGCTCTTTTCTTTTGCTGGATCACACCAAGCCCCATCTCAGCTACTGTAGTAGGCTATGGTGATATCAGGGTCGATCAGGTTCAGCTATGCACCCTGCAATAGATCATGCATGCTGCAATGTGGAGGGAGAAGGTAAGCCATGAACTCCAGTAGGAAGAAGAGATGGTGTAAGACCTACAGGTATTGACCATAACAGTGGTCTCTCCGGGAAATGGCACCAACATCTCCCATTTGATACTGCGCAATGGCTTCTAGATCATCCCCGCATCACCATTCTAGACGGTGACATGATGAAGCCTAGTCTAGGCCTTGGCGCTGATCACATTGAGATGTTGAAGCGCAACGTCCACATCATCATCCATGCCGCATCTTCAATCAATCTTGCCCAGCGGCTTCAGAAAATGTGGCATAGCGTCATCCGGGCCACAGAGTATGCTGTCGAACTGGGACTCCAATGTGACAAACTGGAGCGTTTTGTTTACGTCTCAACAGCGTATACCAATACCCATCTGTGCAGCCTGTCCCCCAAAGGGGATGTGGACATAAAAGAGCGTATAATATCACTTGAATCTACCTCTCCCAATAATGGTAATTCCACTGTGGACGAGGAATACTTGGAACTATAGTCGCGAGGATCCACCAAAGAACACGAGAGCAACGACTTTCCCTGGGGTTATGGGTATGCCAAACATCTTTCCGAGCGCCTAGTCACGGAAAGGTTCACAAGACACGGCAAGTACGACCGATTGCTGATTTTACGGCCCTCGGTGATTGGGCCGGCTGAGAGCCTTCCATACCCCGGGTATGCGGTTCCCACGTCGACCCCAATGACTATGATCGCGGCCTTGTTTGTCAACCATACAGCGTTTTCCTTTGAATTGTCCAGCCGGCTGGACGACCCGGAATCAGACTCCAATCTGGACGAAGTCCCTGTTGACATCGTTGTAGATCGCCTTCTGGCTCATCTGGCTTACCAAACTCAAGGCTGCGTCCATGCGGTCAGTGGCAGAAAAGCCCGAATTTCCTTCAGGGAGGTAGAAGCGGCAGTTTACCAGCTCCGATGGTTACCCTGGCGGTTTCGTTTAACGTGGGTGAAGGAGAATGGTTGGAATACCAAAAAGTCAGACGCAATCAGTCGTCTATACAAGATCTTTGGGACTTCGTTCGACTTCCATGAAGAGAAGACTGAGCTGTTGATGTCGAAGTTGAGCGTGGAAGAAAGAAGGACATTGCGGTTGTTCAATACCAGGAAAGTCGGTGCATTTGAGCTAGCGTCCCGCAGCAAGCAGATGTATGATTGCTCGACTATATTCGCCAGGAAGATAGCTTATTCTTACCGGGCCTTTTACCAACTTCTATGGATTATCTGGTGGGTCTATGTTAAGCTGATTGTTGCTTGGGCGGGATTTGATCTGCGGACGGTGACCCGGCAGCTGTTCGCTGGACTAAAGGTCCATTAACAATGTTCATTATTGCGCGACTGTTCTGTTCTAATCGCCTTTCGCCGCATGTTCCAATAGAAAGCAAAGCAATGACATGTTGAGAGATGATGAAATGGTCTACATCAGGAGCGTGATGCGACGCGATGGGCGATCCGGGAGTGTTGGATAGATGTCCGGAATGAAGTTGTAGGAAAGACCGAGCGATTGAAAGGGTCAGGTGATCAGCCTCAACATAGATCATGGGATTAGAGCTCATTGATATTCTACGATGGTACATTGCTGGTTTATGGAAAGATATAATGACACTTAGCAGACCGTGAACTCCTTTCTACTTGCATTCTTTGTCTGGTGCGCACCGACTGAATTCATGTATTGCTAAATGTCTGCTGCAAAGCTGGCGAAAGAAAGACCTGCGGGTCAAATTTACATCACCATAGTAGGTAGGATACAAGGAAGCGTCCCCGGCGAAAGTGTCATTCACGCTGCCAGCCGGTCCTGTCCTGGCTTTGCCGGCGTCCGGTCCAAGCAAAGAAAGGCCGAAGTAAGAAATGTGAAAATCAAAGCTCCAAACGAAGGAGGGATGAGAATATAGAAGAATGAAGGATCAAAAGAGAAGATAGACAGGAAGAACAATAGGGTCAAGTGTCCATGCAAGAACTCAGACCCTTGGGCAGAAGAGAAGAAAAAGATAACAAAGTCACAGAGTGAGGACCTGGTGTGTGCAAGTCCGCGACCGACGCCAGCAGCAATGGAACAAGTAACAAATGTTCAAGGAAGAGACGAGAAGAGCAGCAGAACTCCATTGACGGACTTAGACCAGGTGGCCTCGGTCTCTCTATCTTGCGGCACAGAATGTCACACTAAAGTTCCTTTAAGTTCTGATTCTACCGATTAAGAACTCGGATACTTCGGCTCAGGCTTTTTCAGGTTGTTGACCACCTGCTCATGGCTGTGCTCGTTGACGGAAAGCTCGGGCCCAGGCTCATCATTCGACATTTTCTGCAGAATCTCTTCTTGTGCCTTTGCAGCCGTCGTCGGATCATCTGCAATTCCCGCACTGGCCATGCTCTTCCTGGCGCCTTCGATGATCTTATCGGCCTCGCTCATCCCGCGATCCACATTAGAAGAAGGATCTCCGTCCACGCCGATAGGCTCCACGGTCCGGTTGATGACATCCTTCACCCGGTCAGAATCGAAGCGAATCACCATACAGGAAAGGTTGTCGGTGCTGAACCGCGCAAGAGCATGGTCGACCAGAATCTTGGATGCTTCCTGGGCATCATGCACATTGCGGATAAGATCTACCGCTTCTTGGTCGCTACACACGTCCCAGAGCTAATCATCTCTGTCAGCAAGAAGGTTTCAAGCGAGATAGAGAGTTCAAACTTACACCATCACAAGCGAGGATGATAAACTCATCTGAGTCGGGTTGGATCACTGTTTCGGTAGTATACGGATGTCCAGTTACCAAATCCTTGAGATACGCATCACCAAGAGCTCTAGTCACGGCAAGCACGCCGTTGACGCGATTGTTCAATATTAATCCTCCTGCATTAGCTATCCGTTTCCCCTCGTTCTCATCGCTACCTTTGTGATCGTAGGACAAACGAAGTGCCTTGCCGTTGCGGCACAGGATAATGCGGGCGTCTCCCACATTAGCAGTGTAGAGGACACGCTGACGGAGGGATTTCTCCTGTAGTTTGGGAAGTATAGACGCCGCACCGCCTGATACGGCGGCCTGAGTAGGCGTATCGCCCGCATCCGAATCGGCGTCGCCCTTGGAGGCAGCGGCAGCGGCAGGTGCAAGGGCCGCCGATCCCGTCGCAGAATGCAGACTGGGCACGCGGTCTTCCCATCTGAGGAGGGCAATGACCGCGGTACAACCACTGTTCTTCACAGGTAGCTTTTCCAGCTGCTGATCTACGCTGGTAAACGTTTGATCAAGGAGTTCCGGAACAGGTGTGTTGGGATTTTTCCGCATGACCTCTTCCAAGATCAGATGCAGCTTTTTCCCGCACCATTCCGCGGCAAAGGTGCCTGCATGTCCATCGAAGATGGCAAAATAACCGTTGTCGGTTTCCACGACGGTCGCCGGGGGTTCTTCAGAAGTGGGCGAGGGGGCAGTGGGACTCGGGAGGGCTTTGCCATTGTTCTCAGCCTGGGCTAAAGGTGCGGGGGTCCCCAAGAAGTTGTAGAGGTAGGCATGGGTATCTTCCATAGTCCGGCGACATTTTCGATTCCGATCTTCTGTCACGCCAACTTTGAACGAAGAGCGAGAAGTGGGGAGTGATTCTCCAGCCGAATTGTTTAACGACCCTTGGGGAACACTCAGAGCTGGGTCCATGCTCCCAAGCCTATTCAACGCAGGCTGTTCCTGGATGGTGTAGTTGTTGAAGGAGTTCTCGCGCGGACTGCTCGACAGGCTGAGGGAGTTCTTAGCACTGGTGAAGAAGGATGCTGCCTTGGTGACGGTGCTACTCCGGCGCTTCTTTTCGCCACCAGAGTTGTTCTGGTCCTCACTGGTCCGTCGGGTGAAGAAGCCGCCAGGAGGAGAGGACTTCTTCTGGCTGATGCTGGCTTCCTCGGTGTGGATGCTCAAGGGAGGCGTGTCAATGGCGCCGGAACGAGTGATGGAATCTGTCTTGTCTTTGGGTGGGCTCGAGGAGCCACTGAACATTCTGTTCAGCAACCCACCCTGGCTAGAAAAACTTCTCCGCTTATTCCCTGCCAGCTTGATGATCGTTGATGGGTAGGGGGGGCTTAAAACCGGATCAAAAGTTCGAGAGAGTGCGGAGGGGGGCGGCGGCGGCGGCGCGTGGGGAAGGGGGGGAGCGCCAAAGAATGAAAGCCGCCGGGAGGACTGACGTAGGATGCGAATTGCGGCGGCGGCGAGATGGATCTAGCTGGGTAGACAAGGCATGTCAGCGTCTCGATCCACTACAAGACCAAGTTTCCAGCTAAGCACGATGGTAGCGGGATCTGCTTGAAGATTCCGATGGCTTCCAGCCAGCAATGCGGGTGGGCAAGTGACATCGTGGTCAGGCAACGCCGGATGCATGCTGTGGAGCGGGCTATATACACCCTTCTTCCGGCGACAAGCGAACAGTGGCAGAAAAGTAATTCGAAACATAGGGAGAAATATTCCGGAATTAATTCATCCATGTCGGGAGTTTAGACAGAAGCTAAAGAAAGGCACGTTATAGCAAGCGTCCTAAGCTCTCACCTTCCGAACCAACCCCACTGCGCGCCGGAGGGGACAGGGTTACAGAGCGACCACGGGGAGCGAGGATGTAGAAGGAATCGAGGACACTCACGGCAAATAGGGAGAGAAATTGGCGATAGGCTGGGTTGTATGTCGACAAGGATGTGGAGAAGATCAAACAGATAAAAAAAAAAGGGGGGAGGGATGCGCAACAGTCGGATGTTGCGATGATGGGGGGGAAGAGGGAAAGGGAAAAGAAGGAAGTTGGTATGGATCGGAGGTAATAACTAGTAGTAAGTAGTAGTAAGTAGTGGTGGTGGTAAGTGAGGCGGGCTCGGGATGGGGTCCTTTATTATTAGCAATCGTTGGTTCCTCCGGGTGGGAAGCACGCTAGGAAAAAGGGTACTTGTTACTTGGTACTACTTGCCATGTCGTGCCCAGCAAGTTAAGTGCACACCAGCACTACTCCCACTCACTAAGTACTGAGCACAAGTCCCACTACAACAGTTCCCAGCCGATCGGACACAGTCTGGTTACTATTTTCGGGAGGCGGTGAATTGAGGTCGTCATAACGTGACCCTGAAGGATGGTGCGTGGAGGATGACGCAGCGACAAGGTCCAGATGAGAGATAAGTGAAAGAGCATTGCAAGCCTTGATGTTATTGGTGATAGTTTCACTTTCCCAGTTAATCTATTTCCTGTACTTAATACCATGATGTTGCCTGCAGTATTTTATGTTCGGAACATCCCCTAATAGCCCCCAAACCACCACTACACTATATTTGAACCATACAGTAAACCAAGCCCAACCACTAGTAGTTCCTGTTCATCAACGCCTATTGTTATACACCTAAAATAATATGATCCCATTATATATGAGCTCCTAATCCCATGAACTAAAATCCCCAAACCCGGCCCCACCCTTGAATTTCTTTCGCATTGGCTCGGGTTCGGGCTCATCATCTACAAATTCCACAATCTCATCCTCCTCCTGCCCAGCCCTCTCGGCCAGCGCGGCTTTCAGGTACTTGCCTACCCCGCCAGAGCCTTCGTCTTTCGCTCCGCTTCCTGCGCCACGGACTCTTTTGCCCGTCCAGGTCATCCGGTCGTCTTCGGCGCGACGCGCATTCTGCTCTTCTTCCTCGGGGTTAACAATCAGGCCCTTCGCCTTGGCCTCCTCGGTTTGTTTCTGCTTCAAGAACTCTTCAAACGGATCCACAAACACCGTCACATCGGTAATGCGGATGTCCGGAGTAGGTCGGTTAGTAGTCGGGTTTGTCGGGTGCACTTCAAGGTTGTTCAAGGTCGTGGAGGAGGGCGTGGGGTCATCAATGACATGACCGAAGATGGTGTGCTTGTTGTTGAGATGGGGCAAGGCACGATAGGCAATAAAGCTAGTCAAGGGGTAATTGTTAGTGCAGGCCATCCATTTCCATCGCGGGGACTTACAATTGACTGCTGTTCGTGTTTTTGCCCTTGTTGGCCATACTGAGGGTACCCCGGGAGTCGTGCTTCAGTGGACCTTCGAACTCATCGTTGAAGTACTTCCCCCAAATACTTTCACCTCCCCTTCCAGTACCAGAGGGATCACCACCCTGAATCATGAACCCCTTGATGTTGCGATGGAAAGCGACATCTTTATAGTAGCCCTTCTTTGCCAGCTTGATGAAGTTCCACACGGCCTTCGGTGCGTATTCCGTATGTAATTCCAAATTCACATCCCCGACGTTGGTCGAGATACGAGCGTAGCCCTTTTGCTTCACTCGCCCTCTCTTCAACATGTACTCCTCGTCGGACAAAAGCGCAAGCTCGGCAGAGGTGTGGGGCGTCATCCCCGTACTGGTGAGTGAGGCGGCGGCCAAACCAGTAGTGTGTTTGGCCGCATTATACGGCACAGCCTTGCCAGATTGAAACGACGCCGTCTTTTGAGATTGCGCCGCATTTCCCGCACTTCCAGATTTAGCCAAATCTTTCGAGGTGGCCGCAGAACCAACACGTTGCGATCTTTCCGCGCGTGCCTTGGCCACAGCTTCCTTGGCCTTCAGGATCTTGGCCGAACTGCCCAGCGCGT